ATGCTGATTGAGCCTCCGAGGGCTCCTCAATCCCCAAATGACTAATCTGAGCCAATCAAGTAAATCCCTTTCTAGCCATTGGTTTCAAGATGGTCAAGTGACCCAATCCTTACCAATGAAGCTCAAAGTGAAATTAGCTGGTAGGCTTCTGAAAAAAGTTTCTTCCATCCTAAAAAGGGACACAGGAAGACACAATCTCTCTTTTTCCTCTGGCTAGTGTCATTTTGAACCGAATACCCGAAACTCATATGGGAATGAGTTGTTTCCTGGTTGCATCCAACCTGAAGATGAAATCTGCACATCGATGGATGGCACTTAGGACTATAATGACACCAAATTGTTGCTGAATGAGCCAAACAAGGAGCCATACTTCTAGGACTCTTAAAACATGACATAATAATTTACTTACTGTATAAGCAGTCTGAATCAGTTTTCAGTTACTTACAGCTGCCAACTTTATAATTTAATTCAATTATTAATCTAGATACAATGTCTCATTTCTTTTGTAAGAGCAACTTCACATCAAACTTCCCTGCTTCCATAGAATATTATTACATGGGGAGTCTTTCAAGAAAGAGGGCAAGTACAAAACTCAATCTTGCCGTCTCATCCTTCAGGGCTGTGCCTGAATTCCCCATTCCCTAATCTGTGTTATCACCATGGAGAACAGTTTCAGAGACAATAATATAATGGGTCAACGAAATTTTACCAAGCCAACAAAAGTCCTTTAAATCATGAATAAGTTAGCAATACATTGCCTAATAAATACAGGCCACATAGATGGAACAGTGGAAGAGTAGTGAGAGTTCTCTCTACTCCCCAAATATTCCTCCTCTACAACCTCAATATTGCCTTAAATCCCCTACTTGGAAATTCACCCTTTTGAGCTGAAGTAATTACCGGTAAATATAAATGCCCATTTAAGGGGCCATATGTTTAGTCTTACTAATATTTAAATTTTAAGTGTAAGTTCATCAAATCTTTCAGGAGAGCAAAATTTAAGAGGAGGGGTTAGAAAGAGAACACCATTACACTGAGTACTTGGGGTCGAAGAAGGGAGACAAAGTTGAAGACGAAGGTGAAGAAAGGTGAAGTGAGGGCACTGAAGACAAACTACGTTTGCTCTGCAATTCTGCGTAAACTCATTACTCATCACTCAGTTTGTGGAGATCAGGTGACAAGTAAAGAATGATTCTTTAGCCACAAGGACCCAGGTTCCCCCTTAGGACCTGGCCAGAGGCCAACAATAAGAGTTATCTCCAAGGTGGAACATCAACCAAAAGCTTCAATATCCCATTGGAGCCACATCAGTTGCTGGGCCAGCCAGGAATAAGGAGAAACCACCAGCCTGTGAGACCAGCCAACTCCATCTTGGCACTCAGTGATAGATGTGGAAGCCAGATGGCCTTCACATCTGCACACCAGGCAGGTTGAACACCCCCCTTAACTCTCTACCTCCCACTGTCTGGAATCGGTCATTTCACCTTAAGAACCAACGAGAATTAAATTTTAGTCCATAACCACTAAAGAACCTTACAAAGTACTGGATTTATGTGAACAGCATTGAAAACAAGCAAGACGTCTGTCATTATCTTTACCAAGGCATCATAGTTCCCATTGTATCGTTTTTTTACAAAGATTAAAATCATTGCAAAAATTGAAAACAAATCCGTATTTTCCAGATTCTTAAACCAAGATACAAGAAAGTCACCAAGATCATAAAGTGTACCAAACCCACCATTAATCCTCCACCCTGAGAGCCCCTTTCCACCAAGCACCCCTACCGCCTCCTCTCTTCACCCCAGGCCTCCTCTGACTTAAGAGGCGTTGAGCTTTAATGGAGCACCAGATCCTCTCTGCCCCTAAGGAGACTCAGGCTAAAATTACCTCTAGTCCAGTTTTACATGGTGCCTATAAGCTTTAGTTCTTCATTTTCTAAATACATTCAGAACGCAAATTTTAGGGGCACCTAGGTGGCTCAGTCGGTTGAGCATCTGACTTTGGCTCAGGTCATGATCTTGTGGTCCATGAGTTCGAGCCCCACACAGGGCTCTGTGCTGACAGCTCAGAGCCTGGAGCCTCCTTCAGATTCTGTGTCTCCTTCTCTCTCTGCCCCTCCCTCACTCATGCTCTGTCTCTCCCAGTTTCTCAAAAATAAACAAACAGAAAAAAAAAAAGAAGGTAAATTTTAGAACAGCACAAAAGGATAGTATGTAAGTAACTCCCTCTCCCCTGTTCCTTCTCTTGACCCCAGTCCCCAGGTCCCCTTGCCGGAAACAATCCATTTCTTGAGCATCCTTCTGAATATAAACTGTATACACATACTATAAAGTTTATAGCCTGTTTTGCTCTTTGAATTACAACATCCCGCAATAAATTTCCAGAAATGTAATTTGCACAGAATCTTAGAGGGACACAACATATGTATTAGAAATGCCCAACATCCAGGCAGGTTTGGGGGAAGCAACAAGGTTTCTTACAATGATTTCAAACCGTAAGAGACACACTCCTCATTTTTTAGATCCACCATCTTTTCTAAGCCCACTTTCAGCCTGTACACAGTCTAGAAGAAACAATGTTCATAAAAGCACCAGTCACCGATCCAAAATAATATTTTGTCATCTGTAGGGGAACTATTTTTTACGCTTCAAGAGGAAGCCCAAAGCTGTAATAATTCAGAATCGAATGAGCAAGTCCATTTTCATTCCATCCATGCACCCCATTATTTTGTAGACTTTGAACCTGCCGCCCTCCAGGCCTTTGTCCTTCTGAACCAAGAAGTCTTCTTTACAATAACCAAATGAGAAAAACGTTGCTCCTAATGGCTCACAAAAAGTGCCAGAGACGTACAGTCCCGGCCTCAGACAATTTGAACCTTCTATGTTTTTAAAATCAGGTAGGTGACAGGTTTGCTAACACAGGACATAAGCAATCACGCATGTGGTAACTAAATCCCTTTTTAGACCTGGAGGTCAAGCCATTCCACATTTTGGACCAAAGCAATAATAACCAGTTCTGCAACTGGATACCCAACAGAGTTCAAGAAACAGATGGGAAAGTTATCTATTCTCAGATCTCTGCCATACTCCCCTTAGTTTAGAAGGAATACAATCCAGTCGTCTGTGCTACTAAATCCAATACCTCTTTCAACACTAATTCATACACACAGTGGCAAGGACTCGTAGCAACGATGAGTGGCATTTTAAATGAGTCAGCTGCCTGGAAGAGTCCAGTATGCCTGGAAGAGACATACATCCCTAAGCAGTAGAGCTAAAAGTCGTTTAAAAAAATTAAATTAGAAGAAAAATAATCACACATCACTGCTTCCTCCCTGTGACACATAAAAGCTGAGCCCTTAATACCAAAAGGAATGTTAAGATCTCTACCCCTGAAACGGTACATAAAGATCTTAATAAGAGCAGGTCCAAGCTGTCCCGTCTGGAGTTCATGCCAAGTCACAGGTAGCATCTCAAATCCTGGCCTGTGATTTCACAAATGCAAGCCATGGGCTGAAAGGGACCGAGGTCGCCTGAACATAATTCATCCCACCAGCTGAAAGCCAACCCCAAAACTGGGCATTACGGCTGCTGGATGAGACTCGCTCACAGTTTGTCGGAGAACAAAAGACAGGAACCGCCTCTCTGCCAATGGCTGGTGCCTGGAGCACCCAACGATCAGAAGGCACTTGAAGGCCAAGGTGCCCGTGCTCCGAGTTCTGCGCTGACAACAGGAAGCACATCTGGGCCACCGATCCCAACGCAACCCACGTGGTCTCCTCAGGGAAAAGGCTCAGTGAGCAAAACCCAGATCACGCTACACATCTGGCTTTTGCCCCATCATGAACTACCACTCCCTCTCAGCCCAGCACTCTGCATTTTTCTTCAACAAGCCCTTCTCCGCCACCGCGAATGCTTCGGTGGGAATCACAGGGAGGCCCTCATCCCTTTTCCCAAAATAACGTCAGCCAGAGCCAAAGGGCAAGGAGGCGGAGCCTGCAGGCCATTTTGCAAAAGTTTCAAATATCCTGGCACGGACCCCCTTAAAAGAATCATGAAGGAAAAACAGCCAAGCTTCTCATTTTCTCATTAGTGTTCTGTTCCTCTGCCTCTGCCTCCCTTCCTCCCTCCCTCTCTCATTACAAACTTCTGCATTTATAAAACACAAACAACAAAGAGATCTCACATAAAATCATATTAACATGGCTGGCTGTGGGAAACCGAATTTCATTTTGCAAATTCAAGAACCAAAGATTTGAGATGGAAACTTTAAGAGAAATGTGCGGTGTTCTGTGACATTTCGATCCCCAAAGGGGTCCCCGAGGCATAAGGCTGAACAAAGAACTGGTGAGCTATCCTATCCTCTCCAAAGCTTTTCTGAAATATGCAGCTGCCTCAGATTTTCCAGACTCTGCTGATTTTACTCTGAAGGGAGAGGAAGCAGATTTCTTGGCTTCACAGTTAAACCAAATAGTCTCCCTCCTAATGTCAAAGGGGCCTTTCCAACACACACACACACACACACACACACACACACACACACACACAGGTGTACTAACTGAAATATAACCAAGAAAGTAAAGAGAGAGAATATGACAGCGAAAGAAAGGAAATGCCACTTTGTTTAGTTTTTTAAAACCTTCCCACAAAATTAGTAGCAAACTAAACCAATGGCATCTTATTCTCCAGTACCTCCCTCTTCTGCTTTACGGTGCCTACAGCGAGAGCAAAGGACATTACAGATGTGAAAAAGGCTCGGGAGGAAAAAGTACAAATTGCTAAAGAAATACAAACTGTCATTACTATTAGGAAAACTTTAAAAGGGCCAGCTGCCCGCGTCTATCTGTTCAGACAGAAAACCACACCTCTCCCTAGATTTCTTCACTCCGGGCATGCCTGCCTCTTCCCAGATACTTCCCTCCCAGGTCCCTGTCCTCAGCTGTTCCTCTGATGACCACACCTCCCCCTGCAAGGCGCCCCTTCCCCGCCCCGCCGAGTCCTCACCGTGTGGTACATGAGAGCCTCGGTTTCCCCGGGCTCTGACAGCTCGCTCAGCTTGCGGTCCCACTGCAGGACGCTCTGCTCCCCGCTCTCCAGCACCTCCATGCTGGTCCGAGGGACGCCGGGCCGAGGATGCGGAGGGCAGGAGGGGAGCGGGCAGGGCCGCCGCGGAGGGCGAGGTCCGGCTCCGCGGGGGCGGGGGGAGGGGGTGCGTGTGTGCGCGTGTGCGTCTGTGCCCGTGTGGCTTATGCACTTGGAAAGGAAAACGTTCTCTGCTCTGCCCGAGAGAGAACTGCCAAGGGTTCCCGTCCGGGGTCCTCGGAAATCTGAGAATCGCCGGAGAGAGACAGGCTGTCCACGGATCTGGCGGAAGGCTGAAGGGGTTAAAGCTGGGCGCGCATCCAAAATAAAAGCAGGAGATCACCTCTCATCCTAAGAAAATTCCTTCGCAATAAGCCCACTTTCCACTACAGCTCCAGACACAAACTTCGAGACTCCCCAGAGCGTCTCAGTTCGGCTCCAGGATCCTGCTCTGACTCCACCTCCCCCTAAGGCAGTGACCAATCGGATACTCACTGAGCCCACCCTATCCAATCAGAAGTCTGGCTTTCCGTCCTGTCCCGCATCTAAGGCGGGGCAGGGGGCAGTCTCTGCCCAGGCTTCGGAATGTGGGCGGGGAGCGCCTTTGACGTCACCAGGGAACTCCTTCTGCCAGAGCCCAACCAGCCACAGCTCTCTAAGGCAGCGGGCCAATGGAGTGCTTGACTCCGAGAGTGATGGACTGGCATTGTAACCAATGACAAGGGGAAGCCTGGGAGAGACAGCCAATCAAATAGCGACAAGAATACATTTTACAAAAGAGGGAGGGCGAACTCAGTACCTTCGCTTAGAATACCGAAAAGTTAGCGCGCGCTGCTACAGAGAGCTGCTATGTGGCCGATTTATATGTCGTCTTAAATATTTTATATGCTATCTTAAATATCTGTATACGGTCGTAAATATTCTTAATATATATTAGCTCACGTGAGTCTTTTGAGACTTCTTAAAAAATGAGTTAGATATTATACACAAATACAAATATTCCCCATTGTGCACGAGTTTGTATTAGCACAGTTCTAGCAAATTGTCATCGCCTGTTCTTCACATTTTCCGCCCCCTTTCTGCTATGCTTTTCTCCTAACATGTTTTTTTTCTAGGGGTTTCACTTTTGTTTTGCTTTCAAGTCATCCTACAGACACTATTGATAAGAGACAATGGCTTGCTTTTCCAGGTCCTGAAGAGCAATGAGCTAAAGACCTTGAATTGATAGAGGTTTTTTTTTTCTTCTTCTTCTTCCTCCTTTTTTTTTT